GTACAGTGTGTGTGGGTCCCGGAGTGGAGCCCCCCTGCTGATGGGACATGTGGTGACAGGGTCTGCTGCCAGCCTGGAAAACGCAGCATCCGCTGGGTGCTGCCCCAAGGAGCGAAGGGATCGAGCCAGGCTCCCCCAGCACCCACTGCCCAGGTAAACTTGTTAATTCCCCACTAAAAGAAAGAGCCTGGCCATTAGGGAAAGCTTCATTACATTGCGTGGAAGCGAACCCCAACCACCTCTGCCCAGGTACCACTTTATTGCTGCCAAAGCACAATCTCCCACCTGCTTCCCAAGCCACGAAACACCAGCGTCGATATCGTAACGCTGATCTCGAGTGCTGGTGGTATGCCTCCCACCACCGCCTGCTCCACCCGAGGATGAGAAGCACATGCGGAAGAGCTGCAGGAACCCCAGAAGGACGAGCCCACCACCATCCAGAAAGCCAACCGTGTCCTGGGCTTCATCCACAGCAGCGTGGGCAGCAGGTCAAGGGAGGGGATTCTGCCCCTCTGCTCTGCTCTTGGGAGAACCCCCCTGCAGTTCTGCCTTCAGCTCTGGGGTCCCCAACATAAGAAGGACATGGAGCTGTTGGAGCAGGTCCAGAGGAGGCCACAAAGATTATGTGAGGGCTGGAGTACCTCTGCTATGGAGACAGGCTGAGAGAGTTGCGACTGTTCAGCCTGGAGAAGAGAAGGCTCTGGGGAAGACCTTCCAGCAGCCTTCCAGGACCTAAAGGGGCTACAAGAAAGCTGGAGAGGGGCTTTGGACAAGAGCATGTAGTGACAGGACATGGGGCAATGGCTTTGAACTGAAAAAGGGGAGATTTCAATGAGATCTAAGGAAGAAATTCTTCCCTTTTGAGAGTGGTGAGGCACTGGCACAGGTTGCCCAGAAAGGTTGTGTCTGCCCCATCCCTGGAAGTGTTCAAGGCCAGGTGGGATGAGGCTTTGAGCAACCTGGTGTAGTGGAAGGTGTCCCTGCTCATGGCAGGGGGGTTGGAACTGGATGATCTTGAAGATCCCTTCCAACCCAAACCATTCTATGACTGGGATTGCAACAGATGGGGCTATGCATCCCCATTTATTTGGTATAACGGTGGAAGCACTATTAAAAGGAAAATAGGGCTCATATTAGTGCTTTTTCCCCCCACTCCTTGGCCAAGAGACCTTATAAATTGGTCCTTGAGGAGCAGAGGAGCTGCTGGTGTACCATGTGCGTGTCTGGAGCACACACATGTCATGGTGTGCACCGCATACATTTTGACCCCTCTAATAGTTATCCAGGCGTTTTCTTTCCCATTTTGGCCATGGTGGATGGTGTCCCAGGCGGTGCCCCGCTCTCCAGGAACAGAAGCCCAGGACCTTTCCCCACGGCCCGGCGCACTGCAGGGAGGAAATTCTAAATTATGAAGGATGATAAAGATGAAGCCCAGTTTGGGTCAGATCCTGGGCACAGAGGTGGGGGGGAAGGAAGCTTGTCCACAGCTGCAACCATCCTCCTCACCACCACGTATTTTTCCTTCTCCAGCCCAGCTGCAACCACCCATTTTTAACTCTCCCAGAGCAGAGAGATGGCACCTGGGTGCTGGGAAAATGCTGAGAGCAGAGTCCCTAAGGTGGCAACATCAACATTTATTTGAAAAGGGCATTAAGATGGTGCATTTGAAAATATCGAGGCCTTCTTGGCCCTTTTTTACAACCCGCTCCCCCTTTCATCTGTCCTCAGCTACACACACACAAACTCCACAGTGCTCCGGAATACAGCGATGGAAAACGCACACATGCACCTAAACCGCTGACTTTATAGAAATATACTTTGTCATCTCGACATACACAAATATCTAAACTAAACATGAGGTACAAACAGGTCACAACACCATGTGTGTGTCTGGAAGGGACATTTACAGGTGGAATTTGGGTCCCAAAACGTGGTGGGGCCGTGGTGAGGATGCAGCCAGTTGGGACGTGCGGCCCCAGTCCTGCTGCCGGATCCCACGGAGCGGAGCGAGGGGAAAGCACTGGGACAAGAGGGACCAGAGGTGACTCCGCAGGGATAACCCAGATTCCATCTCCTGGGAGCAGAGGCCAGGGGTGTTTTCTGGTGTCCCTACCCATGGCAGGGGGTTGGAACTAGATGATCTTGAAGGTCCCTTTCAACCCAAACCTTCCATGATTCTGTCCCAAAGGGGTGTTGGGCATCCCAAGATGCACCCTGTGGTGTCCCTGAGACTCCCCTCCCTCACCATGAGCAAACCCTGTGCTCATTTTCCCACCTTCTTTGTGGTTTCAAAGAATTTTGGAGGTGTTTTGCCCCCGGACACACAATTTTGGGGTTAATTGCTTTTCCTACTGCTTTTGTTCAAAATTTTAGGGTTTTTCATGAGAACAGTCACGGGAGCAAACCCTTCTTCCCCGAGCTGCCCGCTTTGCATTCCCGCTGCTGATCCCAAAACCTGCCCAGCCAAAATGTGGGTTTCAGCGGGACCAGGCATAACCCAGGGAGCAAAAAGGGTTTGGGGACAGGGGACGGAAACACATGGGGACCTTACGAGGCAGCAGCAAGAGGAGAGCCTCGGGCACCGGGCAGGGCCAGTGCTGTGATCCAGCCCAGGGACCAAAATAAACCCTTGTTTTTCCTGTCCTCTTAAGCTAGATCATTTCCCTAAGCCCGGATTACGGCACAACCACACAAACAAGCGGTGACATCGGGGCAATCACAAACTGTATCCACCACTGAGTTAAAAAAAAAAAAAAGAAAAAAGGAGGGGGATGGTAATATGTAATTACAGCTTAAAATAACCACCCAAAGATCTGCAGCGAGAGGTGGCAGAGAAACGGGTCATGGCTGAAGCGACCCAGCGGGGCACGGGCAGAGCCAGTGCCAATGCTGGCTGGGTTTACCTGTCCCTCCACGATGCGCAGAAGCAGCTCCCACATCTCCAGCTTTAGACCCTTCTGAGTGTCTTCCCGTGGCAAAGACAGAAGCGGCGAGTCCGGCCAGAGGGGAAGGGGCTACCTGAGACCCTGGGAAGGGTCGAAGAAGAGACACCCAGGCTGCTCAGAGGGAGACGGTGGGGAAGCTGAAGGCAGTGCCCGTCCGTGTGAGCGTGTCCAAGCTCACCTTGCGAACAGCCTCAGCACATCGACACTCCAAAGGCATTTGGAAGCAAGAGATCCTGTGAACAACCGAATATCCCCAAGAGACCTCTTCCCCACCCCCACCACTGGCACTTTGCAGTTTTGGTTCGGCAGGACCCAGAAGTTTCTACCATGTTTATCTAAAGTCAAACTTTTGACAGCCTCATCTGTCCCCAGCCCAAATCCAGTTTTATTCTATTGCACAAGAACAGGCACGATCCATGGCCCGCCAGACGCAGGGGCTGCAGGGTGGACCCTGTAAAACGCCTCTTATCCAGCAATTTCCTGCAGCGTTGGAGTTTCTTTGTGGTTACAGCTCAGCTGATTTAAGGTTGGACTTTGTCAAAGTGATTCTGCTAAAAAAGAAAATAATTCTTCCCTTGAGACAGGAACCCCAAAACTGTGACAATCCAACCCCAAAATAGGAAAACAGTGGGTTAATGTGTTAATACTCTCCAGCACAGTGGTTGCTCATGCCTTGTGTCACCGCTCCAGGCATCCCACTGCATGCCTGGCCACGCTGCCTGTGGGCTCAGCCTCACCAGTTCCCTGCAAACACTTTGCCTGTGACCTGGTCAAGAGGCACAGCTCTTGTAGGTTTTCCCCAAAAAAGTGGGTTTTCCCAAACAAATCACGTTTACAAGTGACCTGGAACCAGCCAGGCTGCTGTGTACCCCCACACCAACAGGACAATTGCCACCCTCACGCTGCACCAGGAAAGCCCTCCGTCCGGGGCATCAGGGTACCCTGAATCACCCAGGGGAATGGGCCATGAGCCGAGGGGGCTCCTGGGAAGATTCAGGCTCCCAGGCTGGGAGCTGGATGTGGGGATCATACCCCCTCCAACAGCCTGCCTCAAGCACCAGCTCGGGCAGGCTTCAGTTTTGCGGCGGCCCCAGGCTCCAGCACGCCGCACCCCAGATCCCCTCCTGCTTCTGCAGTCTCACACCCTCCTCCTTGCCAGGGTCTCCCAGTGTGGCCGACTGACGACGTGGGGATAGATTCCCCAGGGAACGGCTTTGCCTTATGTCAGGAAGATGGCTGTGCCCAACGCGCTTCGCCCAGAGCCAGAGCATCTCCCCTCCCCTTCCCAAAAAACGAAAACGGAGAAGGAGGTCACAGCAAGTACCCACCTCCCCGCACCACCAACTGCTGCAAAACGTGGCTGCGGAGGCAGAGGGTGACAAAATAAAGTACGGGAGACGGGTTTGTGGTGCCAACGAATCTTGGGGTGGCCTCGGTGTCCCCACCCGTCCTGCACAGGGTCAGCAGTCTCTCGCCAAGAGGTCCTTCGGTGCAAGCTGTGCAGCGGTGCCTCTGCCCTACCAGCACAACCGCTCTCAGTACACACACAGGTCCGGGAACTTCATCTCGTACACCGGGATGGAGTGGTTTTGGGGCTGGCCGTAGGCGGCTGTGATGGTGCCAGACGGGCTTGGCGGTGGCCTGGAACACAAGAGATGGAAGGAGGTGGTTTACAGAGGGGTTTTGGTGAGGAAGCACAGCCCGGTGCAGGAAACGCGCACTCCTGCACTGTTGCGGGTCTCTCCAGTGCCGCCACAGCAGAGGAGAACTGGGGCAAACAAACCAGAGGCTGCTCCCAGCAACCCATGTCCTCTCTGCCATTGCAAAGGTCCCAAGCCCAGGCTGGCACCCATCCCCACACGAGCCTCCTTGATGGGGCACCTCCCACTCCAGCAGCAGGTTTTCGGGTGCCTCGACAAACTGTGCTTGGCACAGCATGCTCAGCTGTCGTCCCAACTCACCGGATGGTGATCTCGAAGATCTGGTTGAGCTTGCTCTGCAGCAGTGTCGCCTGTAACAAACGCAGAGGCTGTGTTAGTGTGGCTGCACATCGAGGACCACAGCCGTACAAACGGCACAAACACCCCGTTGGCCTTCCCCGTCCACCAGGGCAGAGGGAGGGTGGCTTGGGAAAATTCAGAGCCACATCGTCACTGCTTAGCCTGAGCAGAGTGGTTGCAGGTGCCACAGTCTCGACTCACCCGGGCGCCGCAGTGGGCAGCGATCTCCTCGAATGGGGCTTTCTGAAATTTCTCCACCACTTGTCTTCTCCGCTCTCGCTCCTGCTCCTCCACGGCGACGCTGTCTACTGAAGCAGAGAGGAGACGTCTCTCAGCTGCTCCCCACCCGCAGACACCACCCTGTGCTACATCCCCATCTCCCCTGCAGACAGTATGGATTTAGGCATCACTAGGAAGCCAAGGAGAGGCTCTCCAGCCTCTGGCTTTGGGATCAGCCCCCCGAGAGCCATCCCCAGGGCCAGGCAGAGCTGTGAAGCCATGGTCAGGTGCTGGGGATCCATCCATTCATGGTGTACACACACAGACACAGGGGTGACAGCACCCATACACACATGCCATGCCAGCCTCCAATTCTCCTGGCCATGTCCAGCTCCCTCACTTACCTATTGCCTTCTTCAATGTCTCGTACGTGATCTCTTCTGCTGGTGCTCTCTAAAGGAAAAGGAAAAGCAGATGAAGTTCAACATACACAGAGGACACTGTTCTGGGGTCACAGCAACCCAAAACCAGTGTCCCAGGCTGTATTCTTGCACCAAAACAGCCTGTCCTTAAAGATCAGGGACATCTTTCCTGGAAAACTGCACTTTTAAAATGTTTTTTTCAGGCTGGACTAGCCAGGCCTTATACCTCCCTGAAGGCTCCCATAGCTAAGAAATAAGCACCCAGGGAAAATAAAGATTTGCCACCTAAACAGTAGTGGGAGACCCTTCCTGCTGCGCAATTCCCCTTGCAGGCTGGGACCTGTCGGCACATGGAGAGGAGCATCAGGGGCAGTTGGGGGTCTTTCTGACCCCGCTCACTGCCAGACCTCTGCGTTTGCAGCCAGCGGAGCAATTATGTGTGCAGCCAAATGAGGAATTAAGAGAGGGCGCGCCGTCAGGCTGCTAAAAGCACGCGGTGCCGAAGGAACGCGGCAGCCTCTGCAGCTCTGGCGTAACACGGTACCTGCTCTCGCTCAGGGCTGTTTCTCGACTCCACCTCAACCTGCAGGGAAATGGTCTCACCAATGCTTTTCCTCTTGGACAAGCGATCTTCATCTGAGGAAGAGAAAGGGCAGAAGAGCTAGTTGCAGACACAATTAGCACAGGCAGCTCCCAGGGAACACAGCCTCACATCCCACCCCAAGGGTAGCACTCCATCTGCTCCGCCATTCACCCAAATTCACCCAAATCAGAACTGAGGATCGAGCCAAGCCCAGCAGGCTCCATTGCTCCTTCCAGCCAGTCATGCATGTGGCCACCCCAGGAAGCTTCCGATTCACTGCTTTGTGCCTCAGTTTCCGAAAGGCTGCACCTCCAAAGGAGGGCAGAAAACCAACAGGCCCACATGTAGCACAAGAACTTCACCCCCCCATAACCGTGCAGAGAGAGGGACCAGTTTCCTCCCCTCCCAGTTCTCCGGGATGCCCCAGGGTGGTGCATACCTGTCAGCTGGGGGATGTAGGGTGTGCTGAGCCGGTCCGAGTTGTAGCCGCTGCCGCCCAGCACCTCGCTGATCTTGCTCTGCCAGAAGAAAACCTCTGGGCCCAGGCGGTCAAGGCTCTTGCTCAACCTAGAATCATAGAATGGTTTGGGTTGGAAGGGACCTTCAAGATCATCTCGTTCCACTCCACCTACCATGCGCAGGGACACCTTCCACTACACCAGGTTGCTCAAAGCCTCATCCAACCTGGCCTTGAACACTTCCAGGGATGGGGCAGCCACAGCTTCTCTGGGCAACCTGTGCCAGTGCCTCACCACCCTCAGAGGGAAGAATTTCTTCCTTAGATCTAATCTAAATCTACCAATGGAGATGGCAGCATCTCTTCTGCTAGGGAAACTGTGTCAGCAGGGTTTCAGTCCCTTTGGGTCAGAAACAGAGGGATCTCATGGCTTTGCTTAGCTCCAGCCCAGCCGGATATATCACTATTTCTGCACACGTTGGTACAAAGCCGAAGTCCCAGAAGGGCTCTTGACCCATCATGAAAGATATAGACGTGCTCGGGGGGGACAATTCTGACCTAGGGAATGTCTCAAGGGAGCAGTGGCACACATCAGGGACAGTGTCTCTGTAAGGGACCTCGCCATCAAACGTGACCCGTGCCAAACGTGCCAAGGCTGGGCCAGCAGACATGGGCCAGCCCAGCCAGCCTTGGCCTGGGGATGCTCAGCATGTAGTGGGCATCCTCGAGCCCATGGCACGACAGAGCAGCAGGATGACACACCAGATCTACACCCATCCTCCTGTCAGACCAGCATTTGGCTGGCTGTGAGCACAAGCCGTGGTGGTCACCCCCTTCCCTGGCTGCACAGCATCCTCCTCAGATTCTAAACACACTAAAAACCACTTGATGTCCTTCTCACTGTGCCATCTCCAGATGGGAAAGGAGACAAGTACAAGCAAGTGAAGAGTTGATAAACCCATTACTGTCCTCAATCTTATGGACACCAATCCCTCAGGAGCAGGTAGTGGAGAAGAAAGTATTTTCCAGGCTCTTACCTGGGTCTCTCCACAAACACATCTTCAGGGAGCAGATAGGGAGCTTCCTTCTGTCGCATCTGGATGACCTGCAGAAGACAAGCAAGGAGCCAAGCTCAAACCCCACAGGTGGCCAGGAGAGCTGATGCCAAAGCTGCCATGGACAAGGCTTCCTCCTCATCCTCAGACCCTCCCTCGCACCTCATGGATGTGCTGGCAGAAGGTGGGCACGGTGGTGAGCTGGCTGATGAGGTTCAGGTAAGCTGCACCAAGGGCGAAGAGCGCGCAGCGGTTGTATGCCGTCAAGTTATCCTCGTTGATCTGGGCAATCTCCTGCAATAGAGACACAGCCCCATGAGATGAGGGTGGACACAGCCCCAGAGTGGTCCCCATCCACCTCATGACACCTGCCCTTTAAACATCCCAGCTTTTGGAGCTTGGCTTTGCAGCATTTCGGAGGCTGACAAGGAGACTGGGATCTCTCCCCAGCACGTTGGTCTGATCCCACTATGGTGGGAGAAGCTCAGAGCAACTCAGACTCTTGCATCCCCTTCCTCAGAGGTCCCAATTCCAAAGCAACCCCCTCCCAGAGCCTCCTTCCTATCACATCCCAGCCCACCTGCCCCACGGTGCTGAGCACCAGTAGCACATCCAGCTTCCCCCTGCCTACCTGCACTGCCAGCACCAGGCGGATGAGGTCCACCATGACCTCCTCATTAGCCAGCTCGATGCTGATGAGCATGAGCATGCTGTAGAGAGCCTCGTAGTGAGCCTGCATGTTGCTCTCCTCCTTGCATATCAGGTAGATGTGCCGGTACAGTTGCTGGCCATGCTGTGGGGACATGGAGGGATTCGGTCACCTCCTGAACATCCCGTGCTAGCAACATTACTGTCAACCCAGAGAAAGAAGAACAGCAGGACCCAGCAGAGAAACAAAGCCCTGAGACACATTGCTTGACAGCAAGGCATGGGACAGAGCAGGGTACATGCTGGTGTAAGAGAAACTCTGCTCTGCAACGGCTTTTGGTTTAGGAGCCGCACTGTTGCTCCCTGGTGTGGGCAAGGTAATAATCTGATCACCTCTTGGCCTCAGGTGAGCTCCAGAGGGGTTTGCACCACCCTGGAAGTATTTTAAGGAGGCGGTGGTGGGGGAATAAAAATAAATAAAATCAGGTAACTTCAAAAGCCACTTGATAAATAGCTTTTGGGATACCAGCACATCCTGGGGTACTCATTCCTTGGGACAAAAAAGAAGATTTAGGAGTCTAGGAAGGTCCACACATGAAGTGCTGATGGAGATTGAATCCCACTGGCTTTTTCCTGGGACATCCCCAGGTTTAGAGGCATCATGGTACTCCAAGTGTGACTTGGGGAAACAGAGGCATGGTCCTCACACTGGTCTGCACAAGGACAGCTTGACCCAGACTCTGACACTACCTTCTTCATGAAGACAGTATCCTGGCGTGAGCATTTGTCCACTTTCAGCTTCAGGACCGAGATGTCGCTGATGGTGCTGCAAGGAAAGGCCAAGAGTAAGAGAAAATTCAGACAGTGGAGGGAAGAGGTGGAATTCCCACATGCCTGCAGAGCTGCCGGCCAGGAATGACCTGTCTGGGAGGAATCAAGGGAGGAAGCTACAGGTGGCTTTTAAAACCTATCTGAGCAATTGAGATATTCAAGAGTACCGAGCCAAATCACTCTAGGATTTCAGGGCAGTGGTGCTCAGGAACACAAAAGCAAGTTGACAAAGAAGTGTGCAAGCAAAGTGGATTAGCAGGACCGCAGCAAAACCCATGGAGATGTTTCCATCTGGGATTACAGTCACCTTCTTCCAAGGTAACCCAGCATGGACAACATGAGTGCCCAGCAGGCCTATCCATGAGAACGCAACACAGTCGATGAACCCACTCGAGAAGGTTATTGCTCCTGTGTGTCCTCCTGGGACCACTGTCTAACCACGGTTACTTTCAGCAGCGTGGTCCCACATACCTCTGGCCGTAGCTCCTTACAGAGGGCCCCCCACCCATCTGGCTCTTAACAGACCACTGATCTGCAGCATTAAACCACCCCAGAACTGGTTCCAAATTTATTATTTAATCCTTCCAGCAGCCCCCAATCCTGCAGGTGCTTCCAGAATCTCCCTCCCAAGCCTGCTCTGCAGCACCTGCAGGTCCCAGCCTTGTTGGGGAGCCCTTGGGACATACCTGATGGTGGAGAATTTCTGCCGGTTCCCATGGCGATCGATGAAGCTGATGAGGATCTCGAGGACAAACAGGCGGATCTCAGCATCCTCCATGAGGGCTGTGGAGAGCAGCCTGTCCAGGAAGGCGCTGGGAAGTGCCGTAAGCATGTTACTGCACTGGAAGCCCATAGAGACCTGCAAGCATCAAAGAAAAAGGGAGGCAACATGACAGTGTCGCTTGAGAGGGGATACAGGCAGAAAAGACTTAAGTACGGTTTGAGGCCTTCCAAAACCCCTCCAGGGAAGAGGGTCTCCAAGGCCAGCTCCCCCATGCCAGCAGCTGGGGACCCCACCCGTCTCATGGAAGTTGGATGCTCCTGCGGCGATGGTGACACTTTCATACCTGGAGGAGAGACTTCAGGAGCATTATCTGTGTCAGCCGATTCCGGTTCTCCCTGCCATGGAGAAGAAACAAATGCTAAAACCTGAGTGAAAACAAAACAACCCTCTTTCCATACTCAAAGGATGGAAAAGCCCCAGAAAGGGCAGGATCAGTTTTCCCAAGAGTCACCACCACATACAGCCACGCTGTAAAGGTCTCCAGCAAATGAGCTCCAGATTTAACAGCCAGCAAAAAGGCTGCTAAAGAAATCAGGAATATCAAAGTATATATCCCACCATAGGAACCAGAAACAAACTCACACCTCCAGGCAGGCAAAAGCTGAGCTCAGGGACAATGAACCACCCTCTGGATGTGCCCATCTTACAGTAACTCTTGAGGGATGCCAGGCACCAGCTCTGAACTCTTTAAGCAGCTGAAAATTGGTGAGACAAAGCCCAAGCCCACCTGTCTGTGAAGGTACCTTTGCTCCTCACTCCCATCTTGCTTCTTGCAAAGCCACCACGAACCACGCTTCCACTTCAGCAACATGAGGTTTTTTATGCAAAAAAGGAAATCTTGAATTCTTTACCGTCTGAACTCAGTCTTTCCCAGCCCTGTACTGGAAGGGGACACAGGGATTTCCAGGCTGCTTCATAACCCACGACACGCTGCCTGTGCTGCCTGCCTCTGCCCAGGGACTGAGTGACACTGCAAATGGCAGATCCCTGGAAACCGTCTCTGCAAACTCCCGGTTCACCTACACACCCAGAGCAGGCACCATCGTTCACACAGTGATTTAAAACCTCTCCCAGAAGTATCTCATGAGCTGATAAAGAAGCAGGGACAACCAGCCTGGCACAGCCAGCTTAGCACCAAGAAGCGACTGCTGTCCTAGGGCTACGAGCTCAGTTCTGCTCCCACAGCATGGAAATCTGCCCCGGCCAAATGGCAAACAGCAGCCAGTGTGTCTCTCACCGTGTGAACGAGGATTGAAGGCAGGCATTGGGAATTACTCTCATGTGAGCGAGAAGCCGAGCGTGTCTCCTATCAGCCAGCAAAGTCTCTCTCCCATCAGAGACAAGTGGGAAGAGCCTGACCGTACTTTGAAGATAAATATAGTATGAAAATCTGTTTGCTCCTTACCTACATGCTTCAGCGCTGATACCCTCGCTCCAAATAGCTCCCATGGTCTGTTCCCACACTTCTTAAGCAATTATGTTGTTTGGGTGTTTTCCTTTCCTTCTCTTCCTCCACCAGTGGGTATAAATACCACCTCCTGCTCAGTGTTAATAAAAGCTCGGAGGGGCCACGCGCCAGCAGGGGAAGGCAGTGATGAGCAGCCCGTCCCACAAAGTCAAACACGAGCTTCTCAAAACCCACGGGCAGCCCTTATTCACCAGCAGCCACCTTGCTGCCCTGAGACACCTGAAGTCACTCCCCCGAATATTATTTGTAGTTCCTGGCTAGTTTTGGATGACACCCCAGCTCCTGACAGCTGAATCTCTCAGTGAATACCTGAAGAAACGCTGAGTTGCAGCCCCACTGCCTGTAAGCACCTTTCCCCCTTGATGCTCTGGTGTTTCAAGGGGCCCTTGTCATCACACTTGCAGCAGACAGCAAAGCATTTCAAGCACAGATCACACATTGCTCAGTTTCCCTTCCCTTTCAGTGGACGCTCTCGATGCTCAGCCTTTCTGATACCGTGCCCACCTCCTATTCTGTCCCCAAAGGCCACCTGAAAGTGGGAATGGTTTCAGGAGCTCCCCAGCACTTTCAGCCTTGTGTTCAAAGACTTACATCACTGCATACGGGACAGCAGCAGGGAGAGCAGGGCAGGGGGGAGCAAGAGGAGGGAGGAAGGTATCTGTTCTCACCCAGCTTTGCCAGCCTCAATGGACTGCTGCGAGGAGGGCAGTGGCACCTTGTTCATGATGAAGACCATCACCTCAGACTGCTGGTAGGTGGGCAGCGTGCTGGCGAAGGACCCTGCAGGGACAAGAGCGTGCTGGCAGCATGCGAGGTGCAGCCCACTACCCCTAGAAGTACCCAGTGCCATGGGGTGTGCCAACCTGTCCTGCTCCAAGCTGCCTGCCAGAGCCCCATAGCTAGGCTGGGATAGGACAAGGCCCACCTGGATCCAGTATCCGCAGGCAGCTTTACCCTCAGGGTCATTCAAAATCCATCAAAATGCCTCCCAGGCAGGGAAGACCCAGGCCCAGGCAGGATGAGGCTGAGAGACACCAACCCCTCCCTCTACTTCTTCCTTTTTTGGGGCTGGTGCATCCCCATCCTGCCATCAGCTCCAGCAGGCTGATACCTTCCCTAAAACCTCTCCTTCCCTTCCTCAGGGTCTCCTACTGTTCTGGTTTTGACTGGAACAGAGTTAGTTTTTCTTTTTAGCAGCCAGAGGAGCTCTGTGTTTTGGATTTACCCTGGGATTCGTTAGAGAATGCTGACAGTGCACTGATGTTGATAGTTGGTGCTGAGACATCAAGGACCTTTCAGCTTTCCATGTTTTGCCAGTGTGCAGGAGCACAACAGGCTGGGGGGGAACATGGCCGGGACAAAGGGCCCCCAACTCCTCTCATGATTTGAGCTTAGACTTAGGATTGAGGGTTAAATTGGGCAACGGAGTATTCCATATCATGCAACATCATGCCCAGCATATAGGTGAGGTCTGACCGGGAAGAAGCTCTGGCTCTCCCAGGGGCTCTCTCTCTTGGTCTCTCGGAGTGCTCTCCCTCACTCTCTTTTTGGGACTCTTGCTTGTCCAGGATTGCAGTGTCGGGACTTATCTGTTTCAGAATCATTTGTCAGGACAGGACAGGCATTGGTCACAGGGTGGTGAGCAATTACACTGTGCATCACCTACCCAGGGAGAACCACGACTCTGCCTGCACGCAGCAGCTCTGCCAGGGAAGGCTGCGGCTGCAATGCCACCTGCTGATAACCTGCCACCATGCTTGCAACGTGCAACAGATAAATCTCATTTCCCATTGCTACTTTTAGGATGAGGGGGACTTTGTTTCAACTTGAATAATCCTGCAGATGCACAAGGCAGAAACCCACTGTGCAGGGGGTCACCCGCCAGCACAGCCCACACCCGTGACAGCCCACACAGAACATCTCACCTATGGTTTTAATGACAGCCTCCTGGAACATCCTCTCCTCGTGCTCCTTGATGATCTTGGTGCTGACGCCGATGGCGCAGTCGTAGCTCCCCGTCAGCGCGTAGTCAATGCTGAGTCGCAGCTGCCTCAGCAGAGTGTTAAACACCTCCAGCACGGTGGGGCCTGCGATGGAAAGAGGGGAGAGATAGTGGAGCATCGCCAGAGGACAGTGGTAGTTTCCCCCAGGTCAGCGTGGTTAATACCTCTCACCATCCCATAAACAGGTTGAAAAGCAGTTTGGCCAGACACACAGTGAATTTTAACCCCCACCAGACTCCCAAGTCCAGACAGGAGAGAAATGTCCTTCCAGGAGCACCATCAGCTCAACATATTCCCCGTAAGCTCCTGAAAATCCGTTTTCCTCCTGCCACGAAAGCAAAGGCAGCCATTGCATTCAGCCCTCCAGGTTTAGGTTGCTGCACGTGGGCATAGGTGTTGAGCTTGGGAGCACCTGGACACACGCCAGAGCCCAGTCCAAACCTCCGGCACCTCTCCCACTGCAGTAAAAGGGTAAAGAGATGGATGGAGAGGATAAATTTATCCACTTACCAACAGATCCGGAGGCAGCGATCACTGCTGCCTCCGAGAGGACCTCCACAATGCCTGCGCGCACAGTGGCTGCGCTCTTGCTGTTGGCATCCAGGTGCCCCAGGAGCTGCTGGATCACTAGATGGGAGTGCTGCGGCTGGAAAGAGAACATGAACATCAGCGCAGGTGCTGCATGCACAAGGTGACGGCCCGTTTCTGTAACCCACAGGGCTACTGGGGATGAATCCTGCGCATGTGCCCAGCTGCACCGAGTCCCTGCCTGGCTCTTCCCAAGACAGCTCCAGATGCAACAGGAGAGGAGGCACCTGGAGGAAGCCTGTTTTACATGACTGAGCAAGAGCTTGGAGCAATTTGCATGGGAAAAATTATCCGAAGAGCTGTAGGGATCTAAGGAAATGGTGACAATTAATCCTGGGGATTTCAGGGAGAAGGGATTTGATTTTTGCCAGGGTTTCCCAAACGCATGTATATTTCAAAAGGGTCCTGCTGAGCTATTGTGATCTTACACCTCCAATATGCATTAACAGGATTTTATAAAACCTAGTAGTGCTGTAAAGGGTTTTAGACAATTTACAGGATTAAAAACAAGAATCGAGAGCAGGGGCGCAGCGATCTGCTTTTCACTGCAAGAGTTCCCCAAGCAGACCTGTGCCTTGGCTGAGTCCAAAACTGGAGCAAACTCCCAAGAGGGTGAAGGCAGGACTGTGCCTGACAGCAGGCAGGGACCCATGCGAACAGAGTTCAATTGACATCCACATGGAAAAAGAAAGGATGGATCTTTTCCCATCACTTTGAGTTTACCTAAACTGCATTTCCATGGCCCCCAATGAGAAGGGAAGAGCCTGGCGGGGTTTTTCTCTGAGCATCTCCATGTCCAAGGATGGGGATGCCGGGCTGCAGGTACTGTTGTGACACCTGGTTTGCCTGGGGCATGTCACCCCAGACAGCCCCTCTCCTTTTTTGCAGGGGCGAGGAGCTTAGGTTGATTTACATAGCAACAATCTGGAAAGAGGCAGCTTTCAATTGGAGCCCAACTGCTTCCTCTGGAGCGTTTCGCAGCACACTGCTAGCCTGTCTCATTCAGCAGTGCTTTGCTTTCCACCAAGAGGGAGGGAATCGCTCCCGAGACACAAGCAGCATCCTAAAACACGCACGGCTGGCACACAGCCAGGCTAACACACACCTACCAGTCTCACGCTCGCGGGGCCCCCAGCCCACACTGCCATACACCCAAACCGTGCCCGTCTCCAGCCCGTTTTGGGGCACGCTCGGAAAACGAGCTCACTGCGAGCACTTGGTCTCGGCACTGCCGAGATGCGGCAATGCAGCGGCTCTGACTCAGCCCAGCCCAGGGAGGCAGCCACGGGTGCTCCCAAGCACGCATGTGTGTCCCCAACTGGTGCCGCCGGCCAGAGTCCCACCGGCTCCCCACCTGGATTGAGTACATTATGATCCTGAAGCAGCAGGTGGCAAAGATCTTAGGCTCCCAGAGCGAGTGGTTATCCAGGTGGCTGGAGAAGAGATGGAAATGGAAGGGAAAGTCACTGTCAGTCCCTCAGACCCTACAGGCGTGCAAAGCAGGATCAAGCACCAGGCACGGCCAGGAGCAGAAGGGAGCAAACACTGCAGGTGAGGGCAGGGACACAAACTCCTCTCTAGGTGACTTTTCCCAGCAACAGTTATCTATCCCATGTCATCTTACTCACTGCATCCAAAAACGAGAGCTCAGCCTGCAGCCCAGTCCCCATCTCCAGTACTGTGCCAAGGGGATCCAGAGGAGCCCATGCATTCGCCTCAGCTCTGGTCCGCATCAGCTGCTTCCCCGCGCCTCAGTTCCCCTTGCACCAAAAACGAGAGATGCACAACTTACATGAGGACGGGTTTGATGGCGTTCTTGATGTTGCCGTACGCTGCTCGGCCCAGCAGCTCCCGCAGACACCTCTCTGCCAGCTCTGTAGGACTTTCCTTCTCCTTCTCGGTGGCTTGCAGCGGGGAGGGGGAGCGGCTGCGAAAGCAGAGGAGGGTGGTGAAAGTGGCGCTGAGTGTGCGGCAGCAGTGGGGGAGAAGAGGCACAGAGCCCGGCCAGGGAAGGCTTGAGCGAAATGATCGTGGCACCTGTCTGTGCCTGCCACTGCCTGGGGCCATGGGCTACCCCTTCAAAGGGGCAGCAGCCACCCCACAGCAGCCATATGTCACCTTGCCAGGCAGACGGGGCAGCTCCATCCCAGCGGAGCCCAGCAATAAAGCGCTGCTGGGTTTGAGCCAGATCAGAGAGCAGCACAGGTGAACAGATTGCAGAGGAGGGGGACACGACAGGACGGCCCCACTTGCAGCACCAGGCTGTGCCAGGCAGCAGGGAGAGCCCCCAGGTCCCTGGGACTGGGTGGAGGATTCTGCTGCTTAGTGTCGAAGGCGCAAGGATTTTATTAGTGAGGACGCAGGACATAATGTTGTTGTCCCAGGATGGATGCAGCCTCCCGGGGGAGGAAGAGCAAAGCAGTCACGGTTTGGCACAAGTCACCCTGAACACGCACACCCCAGAGGAGATGCATCCCCTTTTTTCCACGCTTGGACTGTTTGGCATCACACAAACACCACGAATGCTTTTATCACCCTAAGGCTTCAGTTTACAAGGAAAAGGCATCTGGCCAGTAGCCAACCTCCCAAGGCTAATACATCCCTCTTAACCTTCAAAAGGAAAATCCCAGGGGACATTCATGCCTTTTTCTCTACTCTGCACTTCTCTGCTAAGCAATCCTCTTCAAACACCGGGCTGGCGGTAAGCGCGCAGCCAGTGGGGGTCACGCCGGAAGAACGGAGGGTCAGCGAGCAAAGTCGTATTTCAGTTCCTGAGATTCCTCTTGCCTGGCTTTAAAACAGCTGCTTCAGTAGCATCTGAGCAGGAATTCCTCGCAGAGGTCAGCCGCTGAATAGACAGCTCAGAGCCTTTGCAAACAGCATGCCTTAACTGCAGGGACAGCGAGAACTCCTTCCTCCACGGGAGCCACGGTGCCCTGCAGCGGCCAAGACAGCAATAACCTTCACAGCACTGGGTGAAACGCAGAGCTTCTGCCACCTGCAGCATCCTTCAGCGAGGCACTCGCTTTCCCCTCTGGTTATTCGACACGTTTTTCACAGGTTGCAGGTACAAATCACCCTGCAAAACCTTGCCAAAAAGCAGCCCTAGGGGCCCCGAAGCTGCTGACAGAGGAGATCATAGAATGGTTTGGGTTGGAAGGGACCTCAAAGATCATCCAGTTCGAACCCCCCTGCCATGGGAAGGGACACCTTCCATTACACCAGGTTGCTCAAAGCCCCATCCAGCCTGGCCTTGAACACTTCCAGGGATGGGGCAGCCACAGCTTCTCTGGGCAACCTGTGCCAGTGCCTGACCACCTTCAATGTAAAAAACATATTCCTTAGATCTAATCTAAATTTCCCTCTTTCAGTTAAAAGCCATTACTCCATGCCCTATCACTACATACCGTTGTAAAAAGTCCTTTTCCAGATGGGTCCTGGCAGCAGCGAGCACTCACCTTTCGGCCTCCTCTACATGTTGTAAGTTGAAGAGGAGCGAGGGCACGATTTTGTCCATGTGCTGTGGGTCCCAGATGTTGGCTTGGAGTTCGTCATTCACCGTCTTCCTCACCACTCCTTGCAGGCCTTTAATGCCAGACATCCGGATCCTGGGAAACAAATTGACACCAAAATGCTACATACCTACACAACATACACTATTTTACATGTATATACAGGTGAAACTGCGCAAGGAGTTGGAGAGAAGACACTGATTTCTGCGCTGCTGGAGGGGCTCACATAGGTGATGCTCCAGTTCTCAGCTCCAGGCCTGGTATGCCCCAGGGCAATCCTCCTGCTTCTCATTCCTGAGGGACATGGGCTTCCCGCAGCCTGGCAGACGTGAGCAGGAAAGGCTCTGAATCAGCTAAAATCATCCTGGCAGCAGCAGCCGGCTCCCATCCACCATCTTTCCCAGGAGGCCCTCGGGTGAGCAGCACCCATTCATCTCCGCAGCACACACTAGTCGATCTGGAGAGGTGGCACCGGTGAGTTTGGCCTCTCCAAAGGATTAGCTTTGGCCCTGGAAGGTCTCCGTTCTCCTGCTGTGGCATGCATGGAGGATTTTCCCTGCTTCCTTTGTTCCCAGCAGCTGCAGAGTCAAGCTGTGTCCGTGGGGATGCTGGATGCTAGGGAAACTTCGGTGCTTTTTGACACCTGCATCTTTTCTGGGTCCAAATAACCTGACTCTGTTTTAGTCAATAAAGTCATCAATAAAAATTTCCTTACATAGCAGGATTCCCAGGTCTGAAAAAAGCCCCTCAATATCCACTGCTAATGCTGAAGAAAGACACCACGTGCTTATCTGCAGAAATAAATGCATTTAATAATCTGCTCCGAGGACTCCCTAACACAGTTTGCAGATCTAATCAAGGCAATAATCTGACCGAGACACAATTCTTGAGGAAGGACCGTTGAGCAGGACCAAGGTCCCAGGAAAGCAGTGTGCTCCTTTTTAATTACAGGAGCTGCAGAATTTCTCTCTTCCAGTCTCCAATGCAATTTAGCCAGCATCACTGGCGCCCTGAAGGTCAAGTGGAAATAATGAGCCTTCTGCGTTATTTTCTTATTAAGGAAAAAAACCTCTCTTAGCCTGCAGCAGTGAAAGGAGGCAAACCTGGTCCTCAGAGACAAGCTCCGGCAAGGAGTGGTGAACCTCAGGGTTTCACCTCTCTGCAAAGCAACCAGTCCCTGGTACAGCAGTTCTGGGAACAGCACCAACATGATGTGGTGAAACGCTGCCTGACATCTGGGCTCTGCTTAAAACTTGTCTCTGGAAGCAGTGGCCTCCTGCCCAGAGCTTCCCGGCCAGAGCCACAGGTGCTCCGCCGTCGGTGCCTCGCAGGGCCATTCCAAGTGCCAGCTCTTTTTAAACCCATCACCGACAGGCCTGGCCTCGGCAGCAGTAAACAACATTAATCTGTCTGCTATAGTCGTAATTAATCCCCCTGGGGGTACGCTTCCCATCACAGCAAAGCAAGTCAGTCCTCGATGCTGTCTAGAGAGATGTAACTGCCTTTAAAACGTGGAAAATAACAGACCACACGGCTGCAGGAGGCAGTTTTTGAGCAAACATTCTTTTTTGAGTGAACATGGCTTCACTAGGGGCAAGTCATGCCTGACTAATTTAGTGGCCTTCTACAACAAAGCTACAGCGCTGTTTGATGTGGGTAAAGCAATGGATGTCGTTTTCCTGGACTTGTGCAAGGCGTTTGACACTGTCCCACATGACATCCTTGTCTCTAAAATGGAGAGTCATGGATTTGACAGATGGACCACTCAGTGGATAAAGAACTGGCTGGATGGTCGCACTCAAAGAGTTGTGGTCAATGGTTCAATGTCTACATGGAGACCAGTGTCAAGCGGTGTCCCTCAGGGGTCTGTTCTGGGTCCAGTGCTGTTCAACATCTTTGTCAGCGACATGGATGACGCCATTGAGTGCACCCTCAGTAAGTTTGCCGATGCCACCAAGTTGTGTGGTGCCGTGGACTCACTTGAGAGAAGAGATAGATACCATCCAGAGGGGCCTTGATAGGCTTGAGAAATGGGCCAGTGCTAACTGCATGAGCTTCACCTGGGTCAGGCCAATCCTAGGCACAAATACAAACTGGGCACAGAGTGGGTTGAGAGTAGCCCTGAAGAGAAGGATTTGGGGGTGTTTATAGATGAGAAGCTCAACATGAGCCGGTAGTGCACTCATGCGGCCCAGAAGGCCAACCGCATCCTGGGATGTATCAAGAGAAGCATGGTCAGCAGGTCAAGAGAGGCGATTCTCCCCCTTTACTCTGCTCTCGTGAGACCCCACCTCGAATACTGCGTGCAGTTCTGGTGTCCCCACCATAAGAGAGACATAGATCTGTTGGAGCGTGTTCAGAGGAGGGCCACAAAGATGACCCAGGGGCTGGAGCACCTCTGCTACGAGGACAGGTTGTGGGAGCTGGGATTGTTCAGCCTTGAAAAGAGAAGACTTTGGGGGGACCTAATAGCTGCCTTCCAATACCTGAAGGGAACCTACAGGAAGGCTGAGGAGGGACTTTTTACAAGAGTGTCCACTGATAGGACAAAGGGAAATGGGTTTAAGTTGAAAAAGAACAGATTTAGATTAGATCTTAGGAAGAAATTCTTCAGTACAAGGGTGGTGAGACTTTGGAATAGATTGCCCAGAGAAGTTGTGGATGCCCCCTCCCCGGAGGTGTTCAAGCCCAGGCTGGACAGAGCCTTGAGTAGCCTGATCTAGTTGAGAGGCGTCCCTGTCCACAACAGGCAGGTTGTATTAGATGACCTCTAAGGTCCCTTCCAGCCTATGCCGTTCTATGATTCATTCTGCTAAGAGCAGGGGGCCTCTTCCTATCATCATCATCCTTCCTTTTGGGCCCAGGATCAATTCCCTGCCTCCTGCCCTGAGCTCCAGCTCTCCGCAGGCCATGGGCCTGGAGCAAAGGTGAGAAATGCTAAAAGACGTGCTGAGGCATGATGTGACGAGCAGACTGCAGGTGTTACCTGCTCATATTTTGTCTAAAGAAGTTGGAAGCTGGAGGGCACATTTGTTACTTGTCCTGCCATCGGCCGTGCTCAGAGTGAGCCAATGCCTGAGCACAGCTGGCCCGGCTCTCGGGACAGCAAACACAAACCTTTGCTTCTCACACAACACAGGTCATTGTCCTGGTTTTGGCTGGGAGAGTTAGTTTTTCTTTTCAGCAGCTAGAAGAGCTCTGTGCCTTGGATTTAGTCTGGGATTCACCATGAGAAGAATGCTGACAGCGCACTGATGTTGATAGTTGGTGCTGAGACATCAAGGACCTTTCAGCTTCCCATGTTTTGCCAGTGTGCAGGAGCACAAAAGGCTAGGGGGAGCATGGCCGAGACAAAGGGCCCCCAACTCCTCTTATGATTTGAACTTAGACTTAGGATTGAGGGTTAATTTGGCCAATAAAGTATTCCGTATTATGCAACGTCATGTCCAGAACACAGATAAGAGTTAACTGGGAAGAAGGGTTTTTCCTCTTCTGGATCTTTCTTCTAAGGGCTCTCTCTCGCTCTATTTGGGCCTCTCGCTTGTCTGGGATTGTGGTGTCAGGACTTATCTGTTTCAGAATTGTTTGTCGGGATGGGACAGGCATTGGTCACTGAGTGGTGTGCATCACTTGTTTGTATATATTAACATCATACATATAGAAACATAGAATAGCAGAATGGTTTGGGCTGGAAGGAACCTTTCAAGATCATCCAGTTCCAACCCCCTTGCCATGGGCAGGGACACCTTCCACTACACCAGATTGCCCAAAGCCTCATCCAACCTGACCTAGAACACTTCCAGGGATGGGGCAGACACAACTTCTCTGGGCAACCTGGTCCACTGCCTCACCACCCTCAGAGGGAAGAATTTCTGCCTTGGATCTCATTGAAATCTCCCCTCTTTCAGTTCAAAGCCATTGCCCCTTGTCCTGTCACTACACGCCCTTGTCCAAAGCCCCTCTCCAGCTTTCTTGTAGCCCCTTTAGGCACTGGAAGGCTGCTGGAAGGTCTCCCCAGAGCCTTCTCTTCTCCAGGCTGAACAGCTCCAACTCTCCCAGTCTGTCTCCATAGCAGAGGTCCTCCAGCTCTTGCATCATCTTTGTGGCCTCCTCTGGACCCGCTCCAACAGCTCCATGTCCTTCTGCTGTTGGGGACCCCAGAGCTGAACACAGCACTGCAGGAGAGGTCTCACAAGAGCAGAGCAGAGGAGCAGAATCCCCTCCCTCAACCTGCTGCCCACGCTGCTTTGGATGCAGCCCAGGACACAGTTGGCTTTCTGGGCTGCCAGTGCACGTTGCCAGCTCATGTCGAGCTTCTCATCACCCAGCACCCTCAACTCCTTCTCCTCAGGGTTGCTCTCAGGAGCATATATATATTCATATATTATAATTATCATTATTATTTTTAGTTTTACATTATTGTTATTATTAAATTGTTCTTATCTCAGCCCATTAATCTCCTTCCCTTTTCCCCTTTAATTTTCTTCCCCATTCTCCGGGGGTGGGGGAAGGTGAACAAGGGGCTGCGTGGCGTTTACTTGCCCACTGAGCTAAACCATGGCAGTAACACAGCACACAGTGTCCCACACAGCAACAGAGGCTGGATACGAGCTGCACTGTGTTTTCTAGGCTCCTCTTTCATCCGCCCATATAGTCAGCTTGGAAAATAAGGGAGGGTAGGGAACAGAAGTCTGAGTGCACCCAACTCTAGGGAAATCACTGTGCATCTCCATCGCAGCAAGCAATCCCGACACAGCCTTCATCCACTCTGTCCCCAAAAGCAGGTGCTTCTCCAGGAAAGGCAGAGGCTGAGGGCACAGGGAAGCCCCCCCAGGACATGTTCGCAGAGCCAGTGGAGCCAGGGACACCCAGCTCACGGCACTCACTTGGTCCGGATGTCCGGGTCGTCGTGGCTGGAGTGGCACATCTCACTGAAGCGGGAGACAAAGAAGTCGTAGCTGCGGTGATAAGACGGGGTGTCCTCCTCGATGTTGGCAAACTTCACGAACTGGGAGAGAAGAAAAGAGGGCGTCAGCCCAGAGGGCACGACAACAAAAATATTCTTAAAATTCCTCTCCAAACCAGCAAACATTCGTGGGCTTCAGCAGTACAACACAGGGCTCTTCACTACAGCAGCTCAGCGTGTGTTCTGGATGACGAGTCAGGCTGCACCCAGCAGACAGGGTGCCCAAGAGGGAACGTGCCATCGTGCTGTCCCACCGAGCTCCAGCAGCACCCAGGCCTGGCTGCAGATGCTGCAAACCTCACCACAAGCCTCAGTGCTCCTTGTAAAGATCACTTAGATGTATGATGAGGCTCTGAGTTAGGGATCCCCAATATGCACCACACACTAGTGAAAGGAGATAAATTTGCCCCCAGCTTCTTTCCATCCTCCCAGATGGCACAAAACCTGGCCAACACTTCCCAAACGCTGCTGCAGGGGAGAAAACAGCCTTGGAAATGTCAGTGGAGAAACCAACCGCAAGCTGGTTCCTAACCACATCCCAGATCTCACATGCAGCACCCAGCAGCACCAGTTCCCATCACTCTCTTCCAGCATGGCCATGCCAACAGGCACAGAGCTTGCCAGAAATGCGAGCTGACCAGCAGATCTGGCTTTTAAACTTTAAGGGAGAGAATTAAGGAGGAAAAAAGGATAAACATGTTCTCAAGGTCTCCTCTGAATTCCAAATCTTACTCATGAAAAGATGGGAGCAAAGGATCAGGCAGGAAGGAGGAATCTCAACTCATCCAGTCATGCTGACAGGGTTAGCTTTGAAAACAGAAGAATAAGTAAAACCTCAATAGCACGAGAGCTGCCACAAAATCCAAGGCATCAGCTCCCACTGGAACATACAGAGTATTCAGCCTGTATCCACCCAACAACACCCGGTGCTGTGAACTGACAATATTTATCCTTGGTCTGGGATAAGTATCGTGACACCAAGTCCTTGTGGTTTGTCCTCCCACTCGGAGCAAGGGCATAAGCAGCTGCTTGCCAAGATTTTGGGCAGAGAAATCTGCTGGCTGCTTTTGTGCTCCCATGCTGTGTCCACTTCGGCACGCTGGGAAAGCTGAGGCTGTTTGCATTGGTGTGCAACGAAGTGAGAGGATGTTCCCTGTCCAAGTGACCTCCAAAACCACCCTAGCTGTTAGCTGCTACCCAGCAACGCTGGGAGAATAAGGATGCCCATGCACTCAATCTTAGAAGCTGCTCACTAGAAGTGCTCTCCTCCAGACTCAGAAATCAGCCAAGAGACACAAAGGATCCCTTGGGAAAGATCCCAGCCTTGACCTGACGGCAGAGGCAGAGGATTCAGTTGCACTACGGGCACGCGTATGCAAGACACGGTTCAATCAGTGCACGGTGCAGTGCCGATGCCAGTACAGCCCCATTGCTTATGGCAGCATGGCACAAAGCTCTGCCGTCGCACCGAGCAATCCCACATCCCTCTGGCAAGCTGTCCTGGGCCAAGGCATCAAGACTGTCAGGTTCCTCTTCCAGCTGGGAAGATCTAATCTACCTCCAAGGGGTTACTTGTCCAGCCAGTGTTTCTTAGGGCGCTCAGCACCCTCTGGAGATGCCATGCTGCATGGCAGCTCCTTCTTTATCCTTTTTGCATTTGCTGGCATCCAGCCCTGCCGGGACAGCAGCGGGCCCACAGGTGCCCCTCCACAGCTGGCAAAGCCATTGCACCCATCCCAGTGCATCACACAGGCGCTGATTAGCATGCACCCGCTGTGCCGGGCTATTAATAACGTCAGCTGCAAAGGCTCAGCCCTGCCAGGAACTGTTCCCAGAGTGCAGGGACAGGCTCCAACTGATAAACTCCTCTTACTCACCAGAAAAATGCAGGGCTGTTACATAAGAAACCTCTGTACCAGGCAACGCAAAAAGTGGGTTTTTTAAGCTCATGGCAACTCCACGTGCAAACCGGAGGCGAGGGCAGGACACAGAGTGAGGAGCAGTAACGGGTGCTCCCTGCGGCAGTGCCGGGAGAGCCGTCCCAAGTGTCCTGTGGCCAAGAAGTATCATGGAATAAAGGAAGGAAACAGCTTCTCTGCACCCAGTATCTGCAGGTATCAATCCCACAGCCACGTGGAGAACGGCAGCTCGTTTTGTGTCATCAGGTAACCAAATAGGAGCACCTCTTTCCTTATTCTGAAGCTGTTGAGGCCCTGGGGATTGCCAGCCCACCCATCCATGCCAGCAGCACCCACAGTTCACCTCCCTGTCCCGAGGGCAGCTGCCCCAGCCGGCTGCCAGGCACAGGGAGCCCTGCCTGCCTCTGCCCTCCTCAGAGGACAGACATCCCCCATGGTGCCACTAGGTCTGGTGGCACTGGATGCAGCACAGTGGTCACATCTGCCAACAGTAAAAAAAGCCAAGAACAGAGAAAAGTCATCCTCGAAGCCTCTCCATTCTCCATCTATGGGACATTTTTAGTAATCTGCCACTTGCTCACTGACTATTGCATTTTCCGAAGACTTATCTGCCCCTACAAGTGGGCATCTCCCATAATTGCTGCAACCCCAGTCCCACTCCCAACCTGTGCCCGATGGCAAAAAGCAGCACCAGGACACATGGAAATGACCCAGCAAG